GTCAAAAAAGGGCTTGGCAGTAGATAGTGTGATTTCTGGCCAGCTGGGAGAAACTAGGGAGAAGGAATGTGGTAGAGTTCATGAAAAAGCTGGGAAAAGCTATAATTTAATTGAGGGTAGTGAACCAGCTTATTGTTATTAAGTTTTGCCAGCTTCTCAGGGCACTTTCATACTATGCAACTACAATTGGCCCTCCATGTTCACAGATTCTTTATCCACAGATTCAACCATCTGTGGCTTACAAATATTCAAAACATATAAATCCCACATTTTTGTTTTGCCATTTTATATAAGGGACACCATTTTACTATGCCATTGTATTTAATGGGACTTGAGCAGCCACAGATTTTGGTATCCATGAGGGATCCTGTAGCCAAACCCCAGTGCATATCAAGGTTTATATAGCATAACATTTCCACTTTTTCACTATGTATAGCACTATGGTTTCACGTTGCTCTGGGCAACACCTGTGGAATCCTTGGATTTCTTGTTTCATGAGGAACCAAAACTCTCTGGCTGACAGGATGGAACCAGGGTAGTTAAGTAGAATCACAGTGCTAGAATTATGTAGTGTGAATAAGTCTCTCTTCCAGGATGGGTGGTGAGGTTCTTTTTTTGCTTCAGGAAGCAAAATGTTTTGAATCAGCTCTGCAGACTCCATCAGCTCTGCTGAATGAGCAGCTCCATTGCTGAAGGAGCAGCAAATTCCAAACTGTTTCCATCTAAACTGCTCAGTAACAGAACTTCAGAACTTTAAGGTCTGATTCATGAGTTTGTTTTCTTTGCTCCTTCTCATCTTTTTCCTCTTTTCTGTCCTATATTTTACACTAAAAGCCTGAGGGCAAGGTTGTTGATTTTACTTGAGCTGCTCTGAGAATATTTTGGATGGAACTGCAGGGCAAATAATGCTATCCAACTATCCATCCACTCATCTGAGGGGGTGAGTGGGCTAACTCCTGAAAGGAGGGAAATCCATTTTTGCATGTTTCCCCACATTAAACAAACAAATAAACAAGCCAGTTAGTATACCACAGAGAAGTGAGTCCCATTTTTGAATGCTTCTTTAATAAAAAGGTAGCCTAAAATAATTGTAAACAGAACAAAAAACAAAAACAAATATAAGGCCTGTTTCTCTTATATAGGGGAACATTCAACTTCTGCATATATAGACCAGAGTTATAGATGAGTACTAAAGGTATTACAGCAGTTCACACAGAAGTATTAAATTATTTTTCTTCCTTATCTGTCTTCCTAATGGAGTAATTGTGCCACACTGTATAGGCATACAGAGCTGCTTCTGATGGGTTGCTTGGAAAACCAAAAAAAGAATGCATCTTTAGTATTCATTGGAAGTCAGTTCTGGTGCTTAAGGCAGGTCAATTTAAGTGCATGCTTTTATTTTTCCTCCTAGGCAAGATTAGATGTGCTGAAATTGAAAATGTCCAAGCCTCTCTTTTTGACATGAAATTGTTGGTCCAAACTTATAACAATCGTGTTATACTTTATGATCTCCCACCCTTTTGATGTATGCTGATCATACAGGATGGGCTAGATTTAAACTTTTCAGGGTGACTATGGTATCATGCATTACTGGACTATGACAACATTACATCCTTTACATGCTGTGGTAGTGATAAAATAGGAGTGTGGCAGAGAGCTATTCATGAGTCCTTGAATATGGTGGAGAAAAAGTGGGAAGTATACTTATACATCTCACCCAGCAATGTCATTAGGGTTGTCATCAAATGGTGCAGTAAATCATGATGTTCCCATCACCCCATTGACCTCCTCCCATGCCAGACCATACAGAATCCTTAGTAATGTTTTTTGTACTAATGTTCATAAATTGTAATTCCCATATATCACTGATTGTAATGGCAATAGTTGTGACATAAACAACTTGTTGTTATCTGCCCTCAAATCTGCCCTTGCCTGTGGACGAGACATCTCCAAGATCCCCTGTCCTCCACTGCTCTGCTCAGATCCTGCAAATTCATATCTGTGACCTTCCTGATTGAGTCCAGCCATCTGGCATGTGGTCTTCCTCTCCTTCTTCTACCTTCTAACTTTCCTAGCATTATTGTCTTTTCTAGTGATCTGTGCTTTCTCATTATGTGGTCAAAGTACAACAGCCTCAATTTGATCATCTTGGCTTCCAAGGAGATTTCAAGCTTAATATGTTCCAGGACCAGATGGCCCATTTGTTTGTATTTTTGGCTATCCACAGGATCCACAGCACTCTTCTACAGCACTACATCTCAAATGAGTTGATTTTTTTTCCTGTCTGCTTTCTTCACTGTCCAGCTCTCAAATCCATACATGGTGATGGAGAACACAATGACTTGGACAATTCTAACTTTAGTGCTCAGTTATATGTCTTTGCTCTTTAGGTTCTTGTCTAGTTCTTTTATAACTGCCCTTCCCATTCCTAATCTTTCTCTTATTTTTGACTGCAGTCACCATTCTGATCAATGTTTGATCCTAGGTATTGGAATTCTTTAACTGTTTTGATTTCCTGTTAAACATAAACAACTAGCAAAATGAAATTAAATTACAATATCATACAAACAGCCTAAATGTATGTACATGTTCATAGTTTCATGTGGTTAAAGAGAAAAATTGGTAGGATGTGATATTTTAAAAGAAACATTTAAAAGAATATTTTTTAAAATTAAATTTTTTAAAAAATTAATTTTAAATTTTAATTTTCAAAAAAAAAAAAAATCCCAGGGACTCTCCTTTCTCCTCCCACTGAGCCTTGCCCCACTCACACTATCTCTTTTGCTGAGCTCCACTGTTTTAAAGGGATGCAGGCAAATACCACAGCCCGTTTCTGCCAAAAGGTTGATGTTCGGCTAGCAGTGGTGTCACCTCCACCCTTAGGGTATCACTTGATTTGGCTCACACACACCCAAACCCCTCTATTGACACCCCTGGTCTCACTTTAAATTTAGTTGAATATGAGGTATGCTTCATTTGTAATACAAATGAATAATTCATTTGTTGTTATGTGTCCTTGAATCATTTCTGACTTATGGTGACCCAAGAAAATGAGGTTTTCTTGGTAAGATTTATTCAGAAGGAGTTTATCATTGCTTTCCTTTGAGGCAAGAGAGTGTGACTTGCTCAAAGGCATCCAGTATCCATGGCCAAGTGGGAATTTGTAACCTGGTGTCTAGAATCCTAATCCAGTACTCAAATCACTATACCATGTTAGCTCTCCTCCATAACATGCTTAATCCTAAAATCTTTGATATAGCATTTTGTGGGTTGCTATATGCCTTCAAGCCAGCTCTGACTTAGAATGACCGTATCACAGAATTTTCTTAGCAAGACTTAGGGGGGTTGCAGACTGCCTGAAATAGTGCAAATTGAGTCCACTTTTAGGATTAGGGTTAGGGTTAGAGAATCATGGGGACTGTTTTTTTTTCTGAGACATTGAGCCTTCTCTGTCAGAGAGCTCTGGTGCCACAATAAAATACAGTTCCCATGATTCCCTAACCCTAACCCTAACCCTAACCCTTAAAGTGGACTCAATTTGCACTATTTCTATCAGTCTGCAAAGGCCCTTAATCAGATGAAATGTGCCATTGCTACGCTCTCAGGCTGAGAGAGCGTGATTTGTCCAAGGTCACTGAGTGGGTTTCTATGGCTGAACGGGGATAAGGACCTTGGTCTCCAGTGTCATAGTCCATCACTCAACCCTCTACAACATACTGGCTACACCTAAATGTTATCCCCATATAATTTCATCCAGAGATTTCATTATCAAATGGTTAAGGGAATCTGGAATTTAGTAGTCTGGAAAATGTTTTTAGATTGTAGCAGGAATGCCTGGAACCCCTTTAGGAATTGTGGATGTTTTCCATGTGTGTTTATTTATATGCCTTCTGTGGAATGAAAGAATAGCTGTATACCTCAGTTCAGACCACTGAGCCTTCTATTACATTATATGGTCTGATCAAGACTACATTTTGTTTCTGTTTCTCCTCTCTCTCCTGGAGTGAAATTTTATCTGACAAATTATTACACAGGAGAGGTTAGGCATAATTTGTGTTAGTTCTGGAGATGTTGCTGGTTGCTCAACTTGCTCAATGTATGAGCAATCTGTCTTTACCTCTATGGGAACATGTAAAAACTGAGAATGAAACAACTTGCCAAGAGCAGAATACAGGCATTCCTCATAGTTCATGGACTTCCTGTTTGTATCCTTCAGTCTGTCATGGATGGGAAGCCACGAGGGACAAAATGGCACATGCACCACCATTATACTCAATGTGTCTCCTATATTTGCATTATTTCCCATTCACATGGAGATCTGGAATGGATCCCCATGAATGGGGAGGGACGACTGTATTTTGAACTATGGTGAGCAAAAGAAATGTGGAGGGATGGTAGTGGAGAGTGGGTGCATTAGAAGGATAGAAAAATAAATGAATCTCAAGGATTATTCCAAACCTTTTTTCCTGCTACACAAAAGCCAGTATCAAGGAGATGCTTTTTTTTTCAATCTGCCTGGCAACATATGCTATTTTGCATGACCACATAGTGCATCATAAAAACAATAGACAAGATAAACATGTCACTTTCCCTTAGATGTGACAGCACTGAGGACTGAACCAGAATTGGAAAAAAAACATAAAGGTGAAAGTTGCCACAAAATTGGATGATGAAAAGCAAGAATTTGTAGGTACCTATGAACCCTGCAGCCATGGTGCAAAAAAAGAGTGCAGGAGATACTTGAGAATGCCTTCAGCAACACAGCTGGATTCAAAGCAGGAAGACACATATTTATGCATGTATCTTCCTTGCTCAAGATGGACCCACCTAGTAAACTCTGATAAGGTTATGAAGACTGAGAGGTAACAGTAATCCTTTCATTTTTCTATTTCTTTTTTTCCTTATCTGTTCATTTCCAGAAATGTTGTTCCTAATTAAAACCCATACTGTCAACTGCACAGAAGCCAATTTCCTACTGTACATTTTATTTTCTTGGGAGAGGCAGCATGGCATAGTGGTTTGAGTGTTGGAGTATGACTCTAGAGACCAGGGTTTGATTCCTCATTTGGCCATGGAACCCACTGGGTGACCTTGGGCAAGTCACATGCTCTCAACCTTAGGGGAAGGCAAGGCCAAACCTCCTCTAAACAAATCTTGCCAAGAAATCCCCATGACAGGGTTGCCATGAGTTGGAAACTTATGAGTCATAGTCCAATGCTTAAATCACTACACCACACTGGCTGTCTAAAGATACATAAATACAGTGTGTGTGTACCATATGCAGGCATGCCATACACAATTTCAAGCTTATACATATGTCAAGCACCAGAAGTTATAATGGCACGTGTGCCTTCGGTGTGCACGGAAGCCCATGGCCATTGAAACAAACAGGACTTGAGATCTCACATTTTTTGCCTTACGTGAGTAGGGGTCCAGAATGGATCCCCACGTATATGAAGGGCCCATTGTACATACCAACCAGAAAACAACTCCATTATTCTATATGACTCCTGTAGATAATGCCCCTAATAAACATTAGCAGACTGATTCCTATAGCAATTGAATGCAATTCAATAGAGACACATTGTTTGCGTTCAGTATGTATAACCACAGGCTCTACCCATTTTAAAAAATATTTTAGAATCTGATTTTAAAAAGCAATTAAGTTGAAAATAGATTTTTTTTCCCTGTCTCCCAATTTCAGCTTGGTGCTTTTATTTCAATATCACTATCCCTCTAATTTAAAAGCTAGATAAAATGTAGCAGCTTCCCTGGTCAGATGTCTAATTGTGGTTATGTGTTCTCCCTCTCTCCCTCAGTAGTGGCTGGTAGTTTCCATGTCAGTGGGATCCATTTTAGTGTGAATTTCAAAGGAGTTATCCAAGGAGCTGAACCCTATCCTTAAAACAGGTTAAAGTTCACACTAAAGTTCATTTTTGTTGTTAACTGCCCTCGAGTCAATTTCAGCTCATGGTGACCCTGTGGATGAGACATTTCCAAGACTCCCTGTCCTCCACTGCTCTCCTTAGCTCTTGCAAATTCTGACTCATGACCTCCTTAATAGAGTCCATCCATTTAGCATGTGTCCTTCTTTCCTTTTTGCTTCCCTCCACCTTTCCTAGTATCATTGTCTTTTCCAATGAGTTCTCCCTTCTCCTTATGTGTCTGAAGCATGAGAGCCTCAGTTGTGTCATCTTAGCTTCCAAGGAAATTTCTGCTTGATCTGATATACAAGACATTTATTTGTCTTTTTGGCAGTCCACGGGATCCTCAGCACTCTTCTACAGGACCACATCATGAATGAATCTATTTTCTTCTTATCTTCTTTCTTAACTGTTCAGTTCATACTAAAGCTCAAAGTGGATGCACATGAATCCACCAGCTACTGCTCCTGCTCCTGCTCCTTTTCCTTTTCCTTCTCTCTCCTTCTCTCTCCTCTCTCTATCTCTTTCTCATGTGCACACACACACACACACACACACACACACGGTTTCAGTCTCAAAAATCATCAGTTGAGCAGATGCTGTGTGTGGTGTGCCTTCAAATCATTTCAGACTTATGGAGACCCTTAATGCAAACCTATCGGGGGGATTTCTTGTCAAGATTTGTTCAGAAGAAGTTTGCCATTGCCATCCCATGAAGCCGAGAGCATGTGACTCACCCAGTGGGTTCCATGGCCAAGCAGGGAATCGAACCCTGGTCTCCAGAGTCGTAGTCCAACACTCAAACCACTATGCCACATTGGATCTCAGGTGAACCAAAATGGTGAACGGTCTGGAAACCATGCCCTATGAGGAGAGATTTAGGGAGTGGGGAATGTTTAGCCTGGAGAAAAGATGGTTAAGAGGTGATATTATAGCCAAGTTTAAGTATTTGAAGGGGTGTTTTATTGACACCGGAGCAAGCTTGTTTTCTACTGCTCCAGAGAATAGGATCTTGAGCAATGGATTGAAATGACAGGAAAAGAGATTCCACCTCAACATTAGGAGAAACTTCCTGACAGTAAGAGCTGTTTGACAGTGGAACACACTCCCTCAGAGAGTGGTGGAGTCTCCTTTTTTAGCTGTCTTTAAACAGAGGCTGAATGGTCATCTGTCGGGGTGCTTTGATTGTGTCTTGGGATTGGACTGGATGGCCCTTGGGGTCTCCCCCAGCTCTATGATTCTATGATTCTACGGACAGGTACTACTTTGATATAAAAAGTCTGTCAAACTGTGGGACATTTTGTTGTTTTAGCTTGTGTCTGTGAAAAGAAGGAAGGAAGGTAGTAGAAGTGGCCATTTCCTACTGTTTGAGTATCTAGACAATGGGAGGGGAGATAATTTATAATTTTGTTTTTCTAAATGCATTTGTTCATCAATCACTGGCTTTGTGCCAAGAAATGTTATTATTTTCATGCTCACATTTGTGATTTCTTATTTATTTATTTATTTATTTATCTCACAAATACTTTTGGTTGTTTGAGAGTGTTTTTCCTTTTTTTTTCTTTTTTCTTTCTTTCTCTAATATTAAGTTAATAACAAGCTTGTTGATGAAATACTGCACACTAAACCCAACATTTAATTGAAAACAGTGGGCTTGACCATGCCAAATGTTACTCTGAAATAAAAAAACATGATGTGAGATCTAATATGCACATGCAACTTCCAGAACAAGTGAATTTCTTTCTTTTTCTTTTTTAGTTCCTGTATCAGGAGCAGCATTTCCATTATGTACTGCAAGCTAACCCTGACATTGACCCCAGTTTTGAATGTCTTGAATTTGCCTCCATGTGCAGTGCAAACATCCACATTCATTAGGTATGTCATATTAATCAATGCCTGTTTTAGAGCTTTCAAGCTGCCTTTGATAATTTTCCAAAAACCCAATTCGCTGCAAAATGTTGTGATTCACCACAGGGTGTTATACCAACAGAAGTGTGTTAAACCTATTGTCCAACATCTGCTTTTTCTAAGCTATAAACTTCGGTATGTTTCAGGAAACATCTTTCCCATTGTATTCTACCATGACCTTTAACATCAAATGGGAATGTCTTCTTGAAGCTTCCATTGGTGCAGCACAATTGAATAGATGTTTTGTGATAGTTGTTTCCTAAAAACAGAACAATTTTATCCTAATAATTGGTCAAAGTCTGGGCCTATATGCCATTTGAAAACACTATTATACAGGAATAGGAGAAGTTCAATGGCCATATTTTTATATAGATTTAACTGGATATACTGCACAGATCAGGGGTGGGAGTCATGCAAGCGTCAGTAATAATAATATAATAATAAAATTTATTTATACCCCGCCCATTTGGTAATCCAATCTGGGCGGCAATATTTGAAGGGCCACACAGTTTGCACTCCAGGGCCTGTTCACACTAATCAGTTGCAGTACTATCATTCCATTTCAACTGCCATGCCAACATCCTATGAAATCTAGGGTTTGTAGTTTGGTGAGACAGTAGAGCTCTCTGGAAAGAATTCTGAGCACCCTGCACCAATCTGAAAATCCCCGCATTCCATAGGATGGAACCATGGTGATAAAGGTGGGATTGTAGTGCTATACTTATGTAGTTTGAAAGGGTCGTTGGTGCACACATACAAATATATGCTTTTCTCAAACAAGAACAGCTATGAAAACTGGGAAGAGTCATGATAAAAGCAGAGTCATAGTTGTGTTCCTCTAACTTTAATGGCTGTTCTTTTCAGTGGCACATAAACTTCTTATAGGGTAATTTGATGGGGGAGAAAAGACTTCTTGTCATGGGCTGGCCCTATTGCATCACAAAATGAGGGGAGAAATTAGCCAAAATAGTGCCTGCACTCATTTGAAATATTCCCCTGCCCTGGAACTCTCCTGCTGCTAGCAGGTGGATTGTTTTTATTTGTTAGGTTGTTCCCATCAATGCAGCCCCTAAATTTTTTATTTCAAAAATTCCCATTTTGGTAGAGTGGCAAGACTTTAGGCATAGGGTAGGCAACCAATAACTGCAAATCAAAGCAGTAGCATTTTCAAAGATTTTTAGTCTAATATAAAAGTCTAATTTTTATATTATATTTTAGTCTAATATAAAAACAACAATAAAAAATATAAAAACAACAATAAAAATATTTTATTTTGTTAGAGTTCACAATTGTATCCTAAGATGATTTTTAAATGTTTGTTTCTGTTTACAATATGCTCCAAATGAGTGATAAGAAAACAAATTAAAAAATAAGTAGATAAATCTAAGCCTATCTAATCACAGTCCCTAAAAATGTAGGTTAAAAATACCATAAAGGCACCAAATCCTGTTTGATCTTGGAAGCTAAGCAAGGTCAGCCTTGTTCAGTACCTGGATGGGAGAGTACCAATAGAAACCAGATAGTGTAGGCTATATTTCAGAAGAAGGAACTGGCCAAACCACCTTTGAATATTCTTTGGCTGAGAAAATGCTATGAAATTCATGAGAGCGAGCAGGCCTGTTTTCTGCTGCCCCAAAAGGTAGGACCAGGCCTAATTGTTTGAAGTTACAGAAGAACAGATTTTGACTGAACATTAAAAATAATTTGTTGACAGTAAGACCAGTTTAGCAATGGAACCAACTGCTTAGAGAGGTGGTGGGGTTGTCTTCTCTGGACTTCTTCAGAAACACGCTGGTCAACTACCTGCTGGGGATGGTTTAGCCTGAGATCTTACACCAGGGGCAGGCAACCTTTCCCCTTTAAGGGCCGAGGGACTTCAGCTCCCAGAAGCCTCAGCCATGTTGGCCAATAGTCCCATGTTGGCCAATAGCTCCTGGGATTCTGGGAGCTGAAGTCCCTCGGCCCTTAAAGGGGAAAGGTTGCCTACCCCTGTCTTACACTGAACAGAGGATCAGATTCAATGACCCCTGAAGCTCCTTCAACTCATGGTTGACCTCCTTCTCCCATCATACACCATTCAGAATCCTTAGTATTATGTTTTGTACTAATGTTACTCATAAATCATAATTTCCATACATCACTGAATGTCATGGTAATAGTTGTGACATAAAACAATTTGCAAAATTAAAACTATACCTCTAAATTACAATATCATCAGCACAACCTAAATGCATTTAAAT